TGAATAAACTGAAATGTACACTACCTGAGAATGCTTCCAAATACACATGACTAATCATGGCTTTAACATTCTTGAGAAGATGATTTTTAAAGACTTTTTCTATATTTCTATGTAAAACTTGGATTCCCTGTTGTGACCTTGCCCTACCCCCGGGGGGTCTTGATTTGAAGAAACTTGAATCTATGCTTCTATATAAATATAATCATTGATGCCTTTGCTATTCTTGAGAAGATTTTTACAGAATTTCTCTATATATTTGAAATTCAAACAAATAATGAAACTTGTATATTTCTTAAACCCCTCGAAACAAAATTTACAATAAGATGTTCTTGACAAAACCAGCAAAGGTCTGAGAAGAGCAAAGCATTGCAGGAATACAAAGACAGGTTTATTTGTACTTTTCTTAAAAATTAGTGGTCTTGTTGTTCAAATTCGTATCCAGGGAGGCAGTTTAATTTCTGGAAGAGTCTAGCTAGAAAGCAATTTTTTGCAAAAAAAAATCGAAAGGTTCATGAGAGGAAGAAACCAGAATCAGGAATCCACTACATTAAATTTCTTCATGACAGCGTCCAAACCCGCGTGCCCTGAAGAGTAAAATTTAATGATTTTTTGGGATATACAGAAAGTTAATTTTTGTTCATATAACCAATATTCACGAGATCTTTCGCCTTTTGACTTATTTCATTTTCCAAACTTGAAAAAACACCTTTCAGAAGTCCAGAAAATAAAATAATAAGATCTGCAATTTTCCAGTATACTAAGGGTCATACCCCAAAATGAGTTCTAAAAACAATCAGAAACTGGATAAAAAATTTACGGACCTGTGTTTAAATTTAAAGAGAATCTTAAGATAAATCATTTGGACTGAATCATTGAAAAACATTTTTTGCTTCTTTCCGAGCACCGAAGACATTATTTATTGAACAGCCCTCATATTACCTGTGACAAGACCTTTCTAAACTCACTTTGATTTTTTCACCTTGTGACCTTGACCTTGAAGTTTGACCTACTTTACAAAAACTTTTTTACCTTGCTCATGACTTTTGAACGAAAAGACATAGGGCTTTTACATTAAAACTGTATAAAGATACTTGATCATGTAACCTTGTTACTGAAGTTTGACCTAATTTTCAAAAATGTTAATTTTTCCTTTAAACTTTTGATTGACAAGAGATAGGGTTTTCACATTTGACATGTGCTTTTTCTGTGACAAGATACGCATGCATCTAAAATCATAATATGATTTCTGACCCTTTGGTAGTCATGATTGACCTAAATTAAAAAAAATAAGATAAATAACTTCTGAAATCTGAATGACAAATGAAAGGGCTTTCATATTTGACACAATTTGCTATCATAGGATCTAAAAAGTAATGGATATTGCAATATTCATCAAACTTGTAAACAATATGAGTTATCGACACTATTCACTTACCTTCAATCTTTATCTTGTTTGAAAATAAGCAGAATGATGGTAGATTTAGTATCATTCACCGTAGACAAAGGGGCCCCAGATCATAGTTTTGTCACCTTATCCTTTCCTAAATTTTCTATTGGTTAATTTATTTTGATCTCCAGTCTCCAAGTATTAAAAAAGAGAAAACTTGTGGTTGTTCTTATTATTTTCAAATTCTGTTTTGTCAATCTCTATGAAAATGATATAACAAACGTAGCCCTTTAATTCGGTTAGGCCATAGATATATCGACTTCACAAAAAACAAACAAACAAACAAAAAAAGTACACATGGACCTCGCACGGTTTGCAAGGTCGGTATCTGCATTTCTGTGAAGTCGATATTATATCTGTGGCTAGGATTTACAACTAGTCAAACAAGATAGGGCCTTCTCAGAAAAAAAAACTGTATGAATAATTTGGATTAAGGTGGCAAACTTCCACACTAGATTACGCTGCCGCATAATTAAGTCATAAAAGTTCAAGTATCAAAAGGAATTCTAGAAAGTCCAGACGTCAGCAAGATAAAACCACATCCGTAGGTGTCTTTCCTGTCAGCCAAAATGGTGACTGGTTTTGGCTAGGTGGGAATGGTGTACAGGTTAGGGGAGGGAGGGAACAAAAGAAATTAATTACAGGTGACCTAAAGTTTGTTTTATATGAACCCTAGAAAAAAGCTTAAAATATAAGCCAAGTCTGATGATTTAATGAATGGCAATTGAAATAAATATTCATAAATAAATTAATTCAGATTTTAATTGATTTAAATTAATAATATAATTTAAAAAAATAGTAAATTTTTAGTTGCATTTATTTAAATTGTAATTTTTTTTTTATTTTATATCTTTTCATCTTTAATCTCTGTGATTTGATATTATAGCTTATTTGAAATGTTTAAGTGCCAGAAAATCAAATTAATGCAAATAAAACTGAAATGTTTGGTCGTGCTTCTCTCCCCAACTGAAAAGGACGTCCTACGAGTCTGATGTGAATGTTAAGTTCTTTTGGCTCTTCAATATAAACCATCTAGACTAAAATACTAAAAGTTATGAAGGAGAAACTGCAGGAGAACTGTGCAACAATACTTTTGACAAGTGGTGTAAATCAGATGTGGATACATAAAAATTTCAAGGAACTTTTGGAAAATTTTAAATCACAAAATTTCACCAAGATCAAAAACATAAAAATTACACTTTTCAAATTTATATACAACCATTCCCCACGGTGGATTAAATTCCATGCTTTTCGATATCCTTGACAACTCGTAAATATATCTACCTTGTCATCGGTCATTTGCAAAATTATTCTGTTAAAAAAGATTCTGATTGTACGCGAATACTCTGAAATTGATATTAAAAAGATGCTCGAGTTTCTGATTGACAACATCTATGTAGATTTAGGTGACATGAACTTCCAACAGTCTATTGGAAATCCCATGGGTACAAATTCTGTCCCCTTATCAGGAGACATATTTTTGTATTCATTTGAAGCAGAATTTGTTCCCTTTAACTCGACATGTACGCATATTTGCGGTGATTTTCTTTGATCTTTCTGTGGTGATACATGTATATCCCATATCATATATGCGATAATACTTTCCACGCCCCTTCATATATCACTACAGGAGGCAGACATCAATCAATGAAATTTACGTCATCATACATGTGACAAGTTGCTCACATCATAGATGCGTCGTACTATTGGCTATATGGTTTCCATGGGGCGTGGAAATCTCGGGTGCTCCCCGCTCTCGATTTCCACGCCCCATGAAAACGATATTATGTAACCTATACTTAAGATATATCGACGGCGTATTGTCAGTTAACAATGGTAACTTCTATCTTATGTCGATGCGATATATCCAGGTGAGCTTAAGACAAAGATACCGCAGAGTCTGACACATCTGTTTCATATTTGGATATTTTACTTGAAAAAGACGTTAATGGTTATCTAACAACCCTTATGCAGCAATGTACCTTCATCACCTGCATACAGAGTTTATATATCTCATTTGATTCGATACGCAAGAGCATGTTCTACGTATGAACAATTTCTAAAACGAGGTAAATTATTGACAATCAAGATGATGAAACAAGAATATCAGCAGTTTCTTTTAAAGTGATAATTTCCAAAGTTCCATGGTAGGGTGTTTCATAATATATGTTAAATTTTGAATCTTCAATTTGACAAACACAAGAAAAAGATATTTATAAGTCCTTTTATCAAACTGATGCACATATCCATAAGATTCATAATGTACAATTACCAAATAAAATATTAAACACTGATCAAAATCTTAAACATTATAGAAAATTGGCAAAATTTCCAATTTGCGTCATTTTTGATACGTTGAATTTCACAACGTCAAACTCTCACATTACATGTTCCAAATGATCTCCATTAATTCAACAACAAATGAAAGTTGTTTCCTAAAATTTGTATAGAACCTTGTCACATATTTTTGCTTAGACACTCATTTGAATGTCCATGTTACTTTTAAGTTCATTCATTATACGTGGTCTAGGATTATAGAGCCTTTACCTTAAGAACCCCTGCAGAAATGAGCCCAAAGATTGAGATTGTCAAATGCTGAGGTCAAAATCATTCCTTGCATTATTGAAAATTTGTACGCTGAAAACTTCAAATCATATTTGAAAGTTTATTATATGCTGAAAATGCTGATATTGCCAGAATTATTTGTTGAAAATATCTATTAGACACTTTTCTCAGAAGTTTTCTACACCAAGAGTCTCCAACGCACCAACTAAATCTCCGCTTGTTAAAGTCTTTAGGCTTTCTGGAATACTGTGTCATTTATCACATATTGTCCATCCCTGTCCTTTAACCTTGTTACTACCTTTCTGATAAGCATCGTAGAAATTTTCCATTCTTTTAGAAAATTTATTTCATAACTTTTGAATGAAAAGTGGCGACATGAATCCAAAAAAAAAAAAAAAAAAAAAAAAAAACAACTTTACAATTCAGCACTGAGTGGATAAGTCAAGTTCATTTCGAGAAATCCCCCCAGGTATTCAAATTATGATATTGGAGTTTATAGCACAATTAATCATTGAAAGAGTATGATTTCCTTGATTTTTTCACATGGATCAAAAATGCAGGATTTGATGTTTAAAATGATGTATAGTTTGTCATAGAAGTATGATAGGTAAGAAAAATAATTAGATTTAAAAATGTAAAATATATTATGAAACACCCTGTACGACGACCTTTCAGCAAATACTCGTACAATCTTTATAAGATAAATGCTCACTGGCGTTTTTCATACTAAATTTTTGTTTAATATTTACACACTGGATTGCGATGGATTTTTCCGTAATATCCCTATCAGGACAAGGAACACATCGCAGATGTGACCGGTCGACAGGGAATGCTAACTCTTCCATGGCACCTGATCCCATCTCTGATGTTTTAAGGGTCCGTGATTACTCTGTTCCAAATTTTGTATTGTTCAATGAAATTTTGAGCTTGAATACTGTTCGTTATCTCAATTCATTTCATAATAAAATCAATAAAAATTAATACAAAATTATATTACTAAGTTTATTTCAATAAAGTATTACACAGTGCGGAATCAAAGTATTTACGATTAAGTATATGATAAGTGTTTGTATACAGTAACACACTCTTTGGATATAAGACGACAAAAGAACATCGTTGTTTGAAGCATCGGTATTTTAAAAGTCTATCAAAAGTACTGTTCTTCATACAACTATTTAAAAGAAAGAATCGTCCAAACGTCCAAATCTGCCCCCCCCCCCCCCCCATAAATTGCGTTTTATGTTTGTTTCAGGTTCCACGCTAAATGTATGAATTTTATGATTTTTTTCAGATTTCAAGGAAAAGAAATTTTCAAAGAAACACTTTCAAATTTCAAGATACCTTAATAATTCATAAAGGCAGCGAACAAGGATTTTGATGTTTATAATTATTTGTTTCCGGATTCCTCCGATTGGTATGGTGGGCTTGTCAGTGGCTCGCAGCTTGAGTAATATATATATGGAAAGCGTTAGTTAGTTTGTTAGTAAGTTTATGCTGTAGAGTATGTCATACTACTAGAGCTAAGCGCAAAAGGAAAAAAAATAGTAACACAACTAAGTGAATTCGTTATTAAAGCAACGTGGTTATCAAACAAAGAAAGATGAATCAAAGAGATACATCTGTCATGGCAGACAGTAGTAACGGTGTGCCTTTTGGTGTAGAGGAATAAGTATGTGGATAGCGTAAAAGAAAATACAAACAAAACATTAAATTTTTTCAGAGTTCACTTTTATGGCGCCAATCGTGTCGTGACTTCGATTCCCCGTCCATTTCGTCGCCTTCGTTGTCGAAACTGCGGCAGGTGGGGAGGTTAGGGAGTTCGGGTATGTGGTCTATGGCTTCATACAACATTAGCGCCATTCCATTCATCATGTGACTGTCGACGTGGCAGTGCATAAACCAAACCCCGGGGTTGTCGGCGATGATTCGGATCACAGCATACCCACCCATCGGAACCAACAAGGTGTCCTTTCGGACTGGGTTGTCTAGGTTAATACCTGGTATAAGTTTGTAGTTATTCCATGTTTCATTCTTCCATTGAGCATTATTGCAATTGCTTTCATCATTCGGCAGAGTTTTGCTACACTGGATATCTTCATTTGGTATTAGAGTATCTGTTCCGGTCGAATCTTTTTCTACTTTCGGAAAGGCCATCTTCAAAACCTCATATGTGTGACCATGCATATGGATTGGATGGTTCTTTCTACCCCCTTTTCCGAGATTGAGGAATATCATAATTATTTCCTTGTTATAGGACAACTCTATGGTGTGAGTGCAGGAGCACGAATTCTCATCGCCACATCCTTCACATTTTCTATCCACGGCTTCCGGTTCTAACAAAGCTGCTGTTGTTGGCGGAATAAATTTGCGTCCATTAATTGAGGGACCACCTACGAACGCAAAGTTTAGAAAAAACGTATCAGAGCTTCTCAATACCTTTTCATTTGGTTCTTTAAATGTAGTTTTAAGTTCAGAGACTGGCACGCAAGTCTTTTCTGGAGAATTTGGATAGGTCTGAAATGGACAATTTAGCACTGTTTTGGTTTTCTCTCTTCTATTTTCACGGCATTTTGCATCCTGCGACTCGATTTCCCGTTGTCCTTCCTTTCGTCCCGAAAGGTGTGACGTATCTTTTAGATGTCCAGAAGATTCCAAGCTGTTACCAGAGCTGACTCCCGTGACTCTCAAAATGGCTAACCCTTTTATATTTGGGTTTTCTTTTAAGTTAGAACCAGTCAGAATTTTCACGATAATTTTATAATTGTTTTGACAAGCGGTTTGCAGATCAAGTTCGAAATCATACCGTTCATTCGGAAGAATAATAATTTGGTCGACTACTTTTTGTTCGACTGGAAAACCGTCAGTTTCTTTGACTTTCAGTTTTAATCCTGGGACGGAGAGCAGCATGGTATCAGCGGAGCCTACGTGGATCACTCGGAATACATGAGATTTTGTTTTGTCAACGACGAATAATGGTGCATTATTGCCATTGAATTCTCCTTTTCCATTGATAAGGATAGAGTTTTGATCATTACCAGCGCCTTGTAAATTAGCTTTAAGTTGAGTGACAGGGTCGTACAAGTGGTTCCATTCCTGTAATTGCATGATGTATTGTCTTTCTGGAGGAATGTCATCGTTTCTTCTGAGAACTATAAAGGCCCCGTACAACCCCATTTCTCTCTGTATACCGACGTGGGAATGGTACCAGTAAGTTCCGGCGAAGCGAGGCTGGAATGTGCATATAAAATGTTGTCCTGGTAAGATTTGACACTGTGTAACGTCCATTGCAGGCCATCCAAACTGGTCAATACCGTGCCAGTGTAGCGTGATACCCTCAGCGAAATCACGTGATAAGCGCAGCACTAATTATCATTCAAGAAGAGGGGGCGAATCTACGCAGAGATGCGTTTTCCGAATAATACGAGACGGTTAAACATTCTCAATAGTTCCAAATAAACGGGCAATTCCTAAGATTTCCCCGCCCTCCCGCCCTATTTATTAATCAAAACTCTGTAACTGCATCTCCACCAGACTTGTGTTATTATTTAATACAAATCCCAGTACTTAGCAATTAAGGGGCTGCAGTATTCAGAGTGATTATGCTGAGGATATGGAATTAGCCTCATTCATCAGCTTGTTTTTGACTTTAATAATAATTTTCTGATTCTGGTAAACGACAATATTGGGTCCTGGCATTTTACCGTTAGCGGTCAGTAAGTTTGTAGTTGTCAAGTTCCACCCGTCTGCTGTGTTCACACATTCTGTCGGTACTTCCTTGTCACCATCAACGGTAAACAGAGAACGGTCTTTGGCGTAGACTGGTCCGTTCAAGGGGTCAATCATTGTAAAGGCGTAGTCGATTTCCAGGCTCCCAACACATTTGTCCTCGTCCTTTACACATCGAAAACCAAACGCTGAGTCGATTATGACGAGGGCAAGGAATAGAAGGACATTTGCCTAAAACATGATAGAGTAATCTTTTTAAAATGACCGAGTATAAAAGTTATACAGAATTAAGGAAGGTCCATACTTTTACGGATCCGGTCTTATTCTTACACATCTATATAAAATTCTGACCATTACTTGTTTATTGAAATAAAATGTTTTTGAATGATTGAAAATAATTTTGCAATTATTTATTTGTTTATTATATTGTTAATGTGTATATAATTAAAGCATTTTATATACATTATTTATGGTAATTCACATGCACTTTGCACTCTTTCAATAGGATCTATATTTACTAGTATATCATTTGATATACTTAGACACAGATTTATTAATTGATTTCATGGACCTAAAGCTTTTTAATTTTTTTCAACAAACTAACTTGAGATCTATATTGATTGTTTTTAAATCCTTTATCATCTATTTTAATTTTACTTTTTTACGATAATAAAGTATGTGTTTTTGTTAACTTAAGATATAATTCTTAATAGTTTTAAAGGCTGTCTTCTACCTATTCCCACTTTTTAAAAATCTCAATTCCACCTATTCCCACTTGCAAATAACAATAAATGTTTTTATAATGATTTAATTACAGTAATTACATTCCATCTTGGATTTACCTGTATTTTGTACATTTGACGACAGAAAATAAATAGTTTTAGAAAATAAATGACTTTTTTAATCAGATATATGCATTACATATATAAAAAAAATGCATAATATATTTGATTATTTGAAAATAAAGGGTTACAAACTCCTCATATCTTGAAATTAAAACGTAAAATCAGAATTAAGATTTATGAAAAAATGCATTAAAATAGCTTAATTTTAGAAAATACAAAAAATAAGTAACGGGAAAAATCATTTATCAGTAATTCAATAAAAATTTCGAATATTCCCTTCAAACATTAGTAAAAACTCTGATTCAAAATTTTTACAAGCCATTTTTCGTTCAAAAAATGGCATCTTAACAGTTTAGATTTTTAGAATTCTAAAAAATAAATCTATTTTGAGATTTTTTTTTTCCGAAAGACATCGACAGATTCAACATCATTTTTTTAATGTTTCCAATAAATATTTCAAATATTCTCTTGGCAAATGAAATTGTTTGATTTTCATGAGGTTTAACGAAAAGAACTATATGCGGTATATTGCATATGTTTGCCCCCACAAAAGTCAAATTTTGAAAACTTCCTGAAATGTGCTGAATTCAATAAATTGTACGAGAAATATAAGTTAACAGAAAATATTATAGTTCCAGAGCAGTGTATTCACAATTTCTGTTTTTATGACGTCACAAACTAGTCCGATTTTATATCCTTTTTCAGAAAGAGGACAAAATGGACAAAATTTCAACAATTTAAGCTTTAAAATTTATAGAGCGCATGTGTGTTCAGGAACAATATTGACATATTTCATTGATATTATCATTCTACACATTATATCAAAATATTTATCCTGAACACACATGCGCTCGGTGACTTTTATTTAAAATATCGATGAAATATGTACATTTTTCTGCAAAATTCATAAAAAACTGAAATTACGTCATATTTGTGACGTCATTACGTACATATGACGTCATTACTTATGAAATTATTCAGTGCTTTGAAGTCAGCATATACTCCCCAGTTTAAGGACTTAATTAAATATTACTCCATCAAAGTTTGATTTTGGGGGGCAAATGTTGGTTAATACCGCATATAGTTCTTTGATTTGGTTTTGTGCAAAACTAAATATAATATGATATCACACTTTTTTATGTTCAATTTTGGCTGTTGCATTTTTAGAGGTATGTGCTCTGAGACACGTATGAAAATTAATCTACAAAGATATGTCTTTTACGAGTGTTTTAGTTAGTTTAAGAGTTATTCAAGGTATTCAAATGAAAAAAAAATACCAGTTTGACAGAAAATTTTGAACGGACGGACCTACCTTAATACCAGACACATTTTAATTGTACTTCCTAAGATCAGAGGCAGATCAATGTTTTTCTTGTTCAAGACAATGTCAGAATATTATAAATTTATTAAATAAGTTTAATTTATGATTTGAACAAATGAAACATTAACTGTAACATTTCAAAAATAAAAAGCATGCATTGAGCAATTATTTTAAGCTTACCATTATTAAGGCGTACTTTGATGACCGGAGAAAATAAGTGTTCACGTTTTAGGTTTTCTGGTTAGTTCTAGACTCTCATCACTGAGTAATTTTTATAAAACTACCTTTCTACTTTTTCATATAAAGTATAAAATAACAAATGAATTAAACAAAGTAAAATAAATTGCAAAAGCACTTACTTTAAACAGATTTTCAAGGTTACTGAATAGAGAAGTTTCCTTGGTTTAGAGATGCTGATAATTACTAGTAATCAATTCAATATGATTATAAAATTTAGGTGTAATTATGCTATTATTATATTTATGTGTTTATTTATAATCCATGAGTTGAGAGAGAATTGGAGTTGGAAGCTTTCTACCTTTGTTAGACAATTACTTTTACAAGAAGGGGGCTGTCATTCTGAAAACTAGAACTGTCCAATAGGGACAAATACCCCCCGCTGGGTTTTTCAGAGAAAGTGACAATTCACCAATATAATACTTTATGAATCTAAGAGGTGTTCACAATTTTCTTACAGAAATTTGCAGTGAAAATATAATTGCTCAATATACTTTTTAATGAATGAAACAAATGTGCAACCAAATAAAACATCTGACTGATACATTGTAATGCCATTTTAACATTTTTAGCTCACCTGAGCCGAAGGCTCAAGTGAGCTTTTCTGATCAAAATTTGTCCGTTGTCTGTCGTCGTCGTTGTTGTCGTCGTTGTCGTTAACTTTTCACGTTTTCATCTTTTTCTCAAGAACCACTGGACCAATTTTAACCAAATTTGCTACAAAGTATCCTTGGGTAAAGAGGGTTCATGTTTGTTCAAATGAAGGGCCACGCCCTTTTTCAAGGGGAGATAATTTTGAATTAGAAAAAATAATGGCATTTTAAAAGATATTCTTCTCAAGAACCACCAGGTCAGGAAAGATGAAACTCATGTGGAAACATCCTAAGGTAGTGTAGATTCGAGTTTGTTCAAATCATGACCCCCGGGGATAGGACGGGGCCAAAATGGACGACCAAAGTTTTATATAGGGGTATATAGGGAAAAATCTTTAAAAATCTTCTTCTCAAAAACCATTGAGACAGGAAAGATGAAACTCATTTGAAATTATCGTCAGGTAGCTTAGATTCAAATTTGTTCAAATCATGACCCCCGGGGCTAGGGTGGGGCCAAAATGGCCGACCAAAGTTTTACTTACTATTAGGAATATATAAGGAAACCTTTAAAAATCTTCTTTTCAAGTACATGTACTTCAAAGCCATGATTAGTGATATTTATATGGAATCATCCTCAGGTATTGCAGATTCTAGTTTGTTCAAATCATGACCACCTGGGGGGTTTAAATTCAAGCCCCCCCCCTCAGTAAACTTTCAGTTCTGCTCTGATATGTGCTTTTTCCTAGCCGATGTGCTCAGGTGAGCGCTGTGGCCCCTGGGCCTCTTGTATTAGTTAAAATTTCATGTAAATGGGCTCATGTCGAAATATGCTTGATCTTCACCAAGTATTCTATGGCCTTATTAAGTCACGCTATCTATTTAAAGAAAGCAGCAGCACTTTTTAGGTAAAGGAACATATTCTTTATTTGTATTCAAAAAATGGTTAAGATCTATTAAGTGTATGTCCTTGCGAAAAGGCGATTTAATTAAAAGGCACTTTGATATTAAATATGCCAAACCTGTACACAAAAGCACAGTATATTTTTAATTAAATACATTCTCTCGATAATTATTAAATAATCGCAAAAAACAAAGGTTTTACATTAGTATAATAGACTATCTAAAATCTGTAAGTAACAGATCAGTGATTTGTTTATAACATGCTACCTGGGATTTAATTCGCAACTATTTGTAATGCATTGATAGGTTCATTTGTTGTTTATTATGCTAATACAGTTTAAAGTTGCAAATTGTATCATTTTCTGGTATTATGAGGAAAAAACTACATGTGTATTTTTGTATGATGCCACAGTAGACTTTTCCCGTATAAATTAGGCCCCGCCCCCTTATTTCAGCCTTAACAATGCTGCGTTGTATTAATTTTCAAAAATGCATTGCTTCATTTCATGGAGAGACTATTCCATTCTAAATATGTTTTTTTTACATGTGCCCAGAAAGTTTTCTTTAACTGAGGATATGAGCGAGATAAAAACACAGAGGTAGAAGCACAATTTCGGCTGTACTGCAATGTTTTTTTTGCCTTACCCAGAAAGCCTTGTGTAGTAAGGTCACATTTAAAAAAATTTGTTAAAATATTAAATGTTTGGTTATATGATTTAGGGCGAATTTGTTGCACATAAACTGGTTCAGGTTTTGGTTTAAGGTTTAAAACTAGTTCTTCAAACTGGTTTAAATTCCAATCCGGTTTACCTCGGTAAAAAAAATGAACAGTTTATACATGTACAAGATGGCGTCAAAAAGATGCAGAACAACATGTATTAACCACATTACACATCTAAACCTTTTGCTTAAATCTAAGAAATTATAAAGTATTTATCATGTTTATATTCTTTGACTATCTTACTTATTGTTAAAGTGCAGTATATATATTTTTAATGCCTCAAAGATTAATCAAAATGAAAATTTCCACATTTAAACACATGGAAAAATTAACACTTGGGTATAAATAATTACTCGTTAGATTTCTAATATTAAGCTGTCTTTACAGTATGTTCTACAATTTACCATACATATTGAAGTTTGTATTTTTGAAAAGGAAAATTTAACATATTCTGTTCATTATTATTGAACAAACACCATTATTTTCAATATGCAGCATTTATCTATTCTCTGAAGCCTTATATTTAGTACATCAAATATCAGAATGTGGCATTTTAGTCAAAAGAGTTTGTTCTCGAAAAAAGAATTATTCATAACTTTTTTTCTTTAT